TAGTCCTTAGACAGATAGACTTTTGCTCTCTTTCATTATCTCCCCTCTCTCTTCCCTTACCGTTTCTCGTATAATAATAATAATAATAATAATAATAATAATAATAATAATAATAATAATAATGATAATAATAAAAGTCTATCTTATATTTTTTTGCTAGGAAGGGTTGGTTTATTGTGCAGCGCCGCTCATCCTGTGAGTGAACACACCGCCACAGTATATCCCTCAGAGGGGGATATATGAGCCTAACATATACTCTATGTATATACTGGCTGCCTGTCCCCAGCCACAATGAATTATTATAATTATTATTAACACGAAGCACCTATAGTACATTGCTTGAGTTAGGAAAATACCAATTGTCAAATATTGATACTGTTCTTAAAAGATTTCCCCATTTTGCACCCGCAAGATAACGTAAGCTTTTAAGGGTTGACAGATGTTAATCTTGTTGTTTGAGGAGCTGTTCACTTGAGACAGTTAAGCAAGTCCCAGCTGTGTCTGGGTACAAGTGACAGGATGAGCAACCCAGCGGGTTTTCTTCCTATTGGGGAGTGTTGTACATGCTGCTATGGCGGTGTGTCCATTCACAGGAGGAGTCCCACTCGCCTCTCGGGGCTGAATTTAAAACAAAAAAGTATAGAACGCGGTGATCACGTTATTATCTCGAATACATTCAATTAGCTGTTAATTAACATGATTTTGTGTTTCCTGTTAATTTAGGAAAGACCTGAGAGGCCAAAATTCTGAGGTCTTTCTCAGAAAGTCTCTACGTACAGGGGTCCTGAAAAAGTGTGGGGGGGGGGGGGGGTTACGTTCAAGATAAAAATCCATAGACTATATTTAAAGGACTGAAGATAAATGGTGTCAAGGACCACACATAATGGTGTCAAGGGTCGAGGTCTGTGTATGGCTACTGCAATGTCTCTGGATATCTTTTTGCCAGGCTTGAAAGAGTAGTACCCAGTGGCTTGTTCGTACCACATCTCAGTGGATCTTCCTTCCGCTACTTTGGCTCTGTGGCGACTTTTGATAGTCGGGAATATTTTCTTCTTGACTTGGTCCTTAATCTGTGAAAAACTTGGAGGTATTTGAACCTGTACAACAGGTAGAGCAGTGGCAGTTTTTGCTAGTGTGTCTGCCTTTTCATTAACATCTATGCCAATGTGACTTGGTGTTCAATTTAGGGTGATTGACAGCCCTACATTGTGTGCTTCCTTTTCATATATGTAGGATTTATGTGATGAGTTATATGATCTCTGTGCTGACTGGATACCAATGCCTGGAGCGAAGATTTAGAGTGTTAATACACCCAATAGTTAAAGAGTGTCATATCTGTGAAACAGATGCAGAAATATATATCTATATCTGTACATGTATATCTTCCTTACAATATACGCAAAAATCAACATAGTTACGGATAGATATAATGAAAACCTATATTGATTTTTATCATGCATACTGCAAAACAAAATGCTCAAAATGCATTTCGAATGATTAACTCGCATATCGCTTCTATATCAGTAAGCACCAGCCTCACTGTGCAACACTTGAGAGCACCTTTTGTACCACTACACCCAAGCATGCTAAGCCCCCCATCAGCAACGCCAAGTGTTTAACACCCTCTCACCACACTATATTTTTGTTTAATTGACTAGTCTTCTTTACACCTTGTATATAACAGCTTCCTAATATTCTACCTGTTGCACCGCCGCTGTTGCAAGGTGCTGCAACACGTTACGCTTTTTTTTGGGCTCCAAGGATATTTAAACGCGCTTCAACTTCGCTCAAATGAGTTAGGGAAGAGGCACCATAAACATTGGAGCCACTCCTCCAGTGTATAAACACGCTCACCGCACTATCAATTAACACTACCAACACGCAGCCCCAGACTTACTGCGCTCTGGACTCCAGTCCATCACTTCAGCCATGGCGGCCCGGACTCCCAAGACATCCAACTTATATATATATATATATATATATATATATATATATATATATATATATATATATATATATATATATATATATATATATATATATATATATATGTCGTACCTAGTAGCCAGAACTCACTTTTTGGCCTACTATTCAAGGCCCGATTTGCCTAATAAGCCAAGTTTTCCTGAATTAATATATTTTTTCTAATTTTTTTCTTATGAAATGATAAAGCTACCTATTTCATTATGTATGAGGTCAATTTTTTTTATTGGAGTTAAAATTAACGTAGATATATGACCGAACCTAACCAACCCTACCTAACCTAACCTAACCTATCTTTATAGGTTAGGTTTGGTTAGGTAGCCCAAAAAGGTAGGTTAGGTAGGTTAGATAGTCGAAAAACCATTAATTCATGAAAACTTGGCTTATTAGGCAAATCGGGCCTTGCAAAGTAGGCTGAGAAGTGCGTTCTGGCTACTAGGTACGACATATATATATATATATATATATATATATATATATATATATATATATATATATATATATATATATATATATATATATATATATATATATATAGCTGTCCTCCTCCGTCTTAATCCTTCTCATAATTTTGGCGTCGTCAGCAAACATTGAGAGGAATGAGTCTATACCCTCTGGGAGATCATTTACGTATATCAGAAACAGGATAGGTCCAAGCACAGAGCCCTGTGGGACTCCACTGGTGACTTCACGCCATTCTTGTGTGTGTGTGTGTGTGTGTGTGTGTGTGTGTGTGTGTGTGTGTGTGTGTGTGTGTGTGTGTGTGTGTGTGTGTGTGTGTGTGTGTGTGGAAAAATAGTAGTAACAGTTGAATGACAGTTGAGAGACGGGCCGAAAGAGCAGAGCTCAAGCCTCGCAAGCACAACTAGGTGAATACACACACACACACACACACACACACACACACACACACACACACACACACACAGGCGTCACGACACACAACCACACATCACTGAATTGCAAATTACTACGCCAGAGGACGCATAAACCCCCTTATAAAATGTCTTCCTCCACACACACACACACACACACACACTACAGTCCCCTCCCTTCAAGACCGACCCACTCCACCATAACCCACTACCCATTTTCTCCTCCAGCATGGTCAGAAAGAGCTTTACGACACACCTAACTACCCTAGCACCTCACTTTATCATGTTCAGTCAGTGTGCAAGGTGTGCACATCTTGCAAGGGCGGCCACGGGGCGGATTGCAAGACGCGTCCCGCCCCTTCGCCAGGGAGGAGATCAGGATGACTGAGCCAGGGTGAGCCATGCTTTAATTTATCTTGTCTTTGACATACTAGCGCGGGTAATTTGCATTAAAATAAGACAAAAATATATTGACTTGGAATCATGTACTGTTGTGGTGGATTTTTTAAAGTGGGTGTTGTTTTGTGGGCCCGCGAAGGTTTGGGGGCCCTCCCTTGTCTTGCTGCGGTGATACAGATCGTGATGTTGGATCCCTACGCTGCACTATCCTTCGAGGGCCCGTAATTGTGGACCCCTACGCTAATCAATGCGTTGAGGGGCCCTGTAGTGGTGGAGCCCTACGCTAACCAATGCGTCGAGGACCCGCAGTGGTGCAGCCCCACGCTAACCAATGCGTCGAGGACCCGCAGTGGTGCAGCCCCACGCTAACCAATGCGTCGAGGACCCGCAGTGGTGCAGCCCCACGCTAACCAATGCGTCGAGGACCCGCAGTGGTGCAACCCCACGCTAACCAATCCGTCGAGGGCCCGCAGTGGTGCAGCCCCACGCTAACCAATCCGTCGAGGGCCCGCAGTGGTGGAGCCCTTCGCTAACCAATCCGTCGAGGACCCGCAGTGGTGCAGCCCCACGCTAACCAATCCGTCGAGGGCCCGCAGTGGTGCAGCCCCACGCTAACCAATCCGTCGAGGACCCGCAGTGGTGCAGCCCCACGCTAACCAATCCGTCGAGGACCCGCAGTGGTGCAGCCCCACGCTAACCAATCCGTCGAGGACCGGCGCCGGTGGCCTGGGAGAGCCCGGGCGCTGGGCGGACCGCACTTCCCCATCTTGATTACGTTGATTGATATAGCGTTTGTAATGTCTATTATTATGTTGCAAGTATATAATATATTCCACGTTTTAGCTTATTGCAGCCCGGGTGGTGTTGCCCCTACATTATCTGTTCATCACACGTGTTGCGTTGAACATTGCACGCAACTCGCTGTTCAAGATATTGAAGTGCCACATTTCTTGTAAATAAAGATATTGTCAAGATTTTTGAAGATATATATATATATTTTTTTTTTTTTGGGGGGGGGGATGCAATTTATTTTATTTACAAAAAACTGTTCTCAGTGGGAGTAGCAGGAGTGTTGTTGTTGTTTAAGATTCGCTACTTGGAACAAAAAGTTCCAAGTAGCACGGGCTATGGTGAGCCCGTAGAGTAGCAGAAGTGATGGATAACCTGGATCAGTTATATTGTTGTGGATGATATTCAGACAGATGTGCTCAGACGTGTGTGTGTGTGTGTGTGTACTCACCTAGATGTGCTTGCGGGGGATGAGCTCTGGCTCTTTGGTCCCGCCTCGCAACTGTCAATCAACTGATGTACAGGTTCCTGAAGGAACACTGAGGTTCCTGTGTGTACTCACCAATTTGTACTCACCTATTTGTTCATGTAGGATCGAGCATTGACTCTTGGATCCCGCTTTTCGAGTCATCGGTTGTTCTGTGTGTGTGTGTGTGTGTGTGTGTGTGTGTGTGTGTGTGTGTGTGTGTGTGAGATTAACTGAAAATGAAATAGTTAAGTCATAGATTTTTTTTGCCAGAAATAGACTGATGTTAACAGTGTTCCTGGGACGTTTACCTGTTCCTCGAGGCTGAGTGAGTCAAGCCAGCCCCAGGTACACAACTAATAATTATATTCATTGCTTGCAGGAAATATGAAGGGAAGGAAGCGAATAAATCACTCCTGGCCGATCAATCTGGCCAGTCCTAATATACTGTATTAGGATCAATTCATGTCCAATATATTAATCATATATTATCTGACATTGTCTTTGCCAGCTATACAAAGTATCGTATTTGTCAAGCTCCATAAGTCAATAAATATATTGGGCTCGTGGCCATCGGGGCCCTCCTCAGAGCGAGGCTCGTGGCCACTGGGGCCCTCCTCAGAGCGAGGCTCGTGGCCACCGGGGCCCTCCTCAGAGCGAGGCTCGTGGCCACTGGGGCCCTCCTCAGAGCGAGGCTCGTGGCCACTGGGGCCCTCCTCAGAGCGAGGCTCGTGGCCACTGGGGCCCTCCTCAGAGCCAGGCTCGTGGCCACCGGGGCCCTCCTCAGAGCGAGGCTCGTGGCCACTGGGGCCCTCCTCAGAGCCAGGCTCGTGGCCACCGGGGCCCTCCTCAGAGCCAGGCTCGTGGCCACTGGGGCCCTCCTCAGAGACAGGCTCGTGGCCACCGGGGCCCTCCTCAGAGCCAGACTCGTGGCCACCGGGGCCCTCCTCAGAGCCAGGCTCGTGGCCACCGGGGCCCTCCTGAAATGTTTAAGTTGGCCCCAAAGACCTCCTCGACAGCGCGGCAGACGCGGTTGGCAGAGTGATGCTTCAAGGCCTGTCTCTCTCGCTGATGATTCCATGGTGAGAGGAAACGCCTTCCTGGGGCTTGTGGGAAGCTGATATAGGAGAGGAGGAGATAGGAATAATGTAGAAGGAGGTGGAAGAGAGAGAGGGATGATGATAGGGGAAGGGAGGGGAAAGAGATTGGAAGTTTTTTTGATGTCTAGAATTTCTGACGATTTTAAGTGGATCTCAAGACTTTATCATTGTTCGTGCTTTGATGTGTTCGTGTTTTTTTTGGGTGTTTTGTGTGTGCTTTCGCTTGGAATTTCTGACAGTTTAAAGTGACCCTTTGAGTCATATATTTACTTATGCATCGGCTGTGTTCCTGCGTTCGCGTGTGTATGTAATGACTGTAAATTTAACTTATATAAATAATACTAATTGAAAGAATTAAATTTAAGGGACATGTACGTATCGCGTTGATCTCTCCATACATTAACTATCTTCTGCAGTGCTTGCACTGTAATTTAATGCATTTGCAAAGATACAAAACAACGTCTCATTGGAATTTCCCTTTAGTGTGACATCAAGTATATATATATATATATATATATATATATATATATATATATATATATATATATATATATATATATATATATATATATATATATATATATATACATATATATATATATAACTATTTATTATTGTGTGCCATACCTGCAATAGGAGTGAGACTCCTATTTTATATTCATTTGGACTGGACGGTAGAACGACGGCCTCGCATGTCGCAAAGTTGACGTTCGATCCCGCAATGCTCCGAGAAGTTAAGACACTCTTTCTTCGCAACGGCCTCATATCCCAGCTCCTATCCTGTCCTCATATCCTGTCCGCATATCTCAGCTCCTATCCTGTCCGCATATCCTGCACTGTCTGCTAACCTCTCCTATTTGTCTAAAGCAGGTAGAATTCAGGATCATTTACGCATTTGCCGTACTCTCATCTCCTCACGCCCCTCGCGCCCCTCACGCCCTTACGCCCCTCACGCTCCTACGCCCAAACGCCTCTACGCCCAAAACGCCCCTTTTGTTTATGGTCTATTGGTTTATGTTTGTTTGATGGGCCGTGTGTCTTGTTTGGTGGGTGTAAGGGGTCCGGTGACACCCAGGTGTAGGGCTCACAGGTGTAGGGCTCACAGGTGGAGGGCTCACAGGTGTTGGGCTCACAGGTGTAGGACTCACAGGTGGAGGGCTCACAGGTGTTGGGCTCACAGGTGTAGGACTCACAGGTGTAGGGCTCACAGGTGTAGGGCTCACAGGTGTAGGGCACACAGGTGTAGGGCTCACAGGTGTAGGGCTCACAGGTGGAGGGCTCACAGGTGTTGGGCTCACAGGTGTAGGGCTCACAGGTGTAGGGCTCACAGGTGTAGGACTCACAGGTGTAGGGCTCACAGGTGGAGGGCTCACAGGTGTTGGGCTCACAGGTGTAGGACTCACAGGTGTAGGGCTCACAGGTGTAGGGCTCACAGGTGTAGGACTCACAGGTGTAGGACTCACAGGTGTAGGGCTCACAGGTGTAGGGCTCACAGGTGGAGGGCTCACAGGTGTAGGGCTCACAGGTGTAGGGCTCACAGGTGTAGGGCTCACAGGTGTAGGACACACAGGTGTAGGACTCACAGGTGTAGGGCTCACAGGTGTAGGGCTCACAGGTGTAGGGCTCACAGGTGTAGGACTCACAGGTGTAGGGCTCACAGGTGTAGGGCTCACAGGTGGAGGGCTCACAGGTGTTGGGCTCACAGGTGTTGGGCTCACAGGTGTAGGACTCACAGGTGGAGGGCTCACAGGTGTTGGGCTCACAGGTGTAGGACTCACAGGTGTAGGGCTCACAGGTGTAGGACTCACAGGTGTAGGGCTCATAGGTGTAGGACTCACAGGTGTAGGGCTCACAGGTGTAGGGCTCACAGGTGGAGGGCTCACAGGTGTAGGGCTCACAGGTGTAGGGCTCACAGGTGGAGGGCTCACACGGCTCTAACTCTGCCCTCACCTGCCCGTACACACCTGCATGGTGGCATTTAGAGGGTCAGGAAAAACCTCCCCTCAGTTTCGTCTTTCCATCTCCTTTGGAAATTACCCCTTTTTAAATTAATATAGAGGTATGTACCTCTTTTCTCTGGGATATGTCATATATATATATACATATATATATATATATATATATATATATATATATATATATATATATATATATATATATATATATATATATATATATATATCAGTCATATATTTACATTTACTCTTCACTGGCTCCATTCTGCATTTCCTTCCATATCGTTCACTACAGTATGTTGTTATTTTCCTGTGTAGTTTGGCACTTGGCTTTTTACCTAACGTTAGGACCCTTAGGTACGATAATACCGTTTGGTAAGATACCTTACCAAAGGTATCCTTTGGCGGCTCTCCATTATTTTCCATGAGTGGGTTTGGGTGGTTATAAATAGGAGCTGCCTCGTATGGGCCAATAGGCCTTCTGCAGTTACCTTTGTTCTTATGTTTCTTATATATATATATATATATATATATATATATATATATATATATATATATATATATATATATATATATATATATATATATATATATATATGTCGTACCTAGTAGCCAGAACGCACTTCTCAGCCTACTATGCAAGGCCCGATTTGCCTAATAAGCCAAGTTTTCCTGAATTGTTTTTCGACTACCTAACCTACCTAACCTAACCTAACCTAACTTTTTCGGCTACCTAACCTAACCTAACCTATAAAGATAGGTTAGGTTAGGTTAGGTAGGGTTGGTTAGGTTCGGTCATATATCTACGTTAATTTAACTCCAATAAAAAAAATTGACCTCATACATAATGAATTGGGTAGCTTTATCATACATAAGAAAAAAATTAGAGAAAATATATTAATTCAGGATAACTTGGCTTATTAGGCAAATCGGGCCTTGCATAGTAGGCCGAGAAGTGCGTTCTGGCTACTAGGTACATTATATATATATATATATATATATATATATATATATATATATATATATATATATATATATATATATATATATATATATATATATATATATATATATATATATATGTCGTACCTAGTAGCCAGAACTCACTTCTCAGCCTACTATGCAAGGCCCGATTTGCCTAATAAGCCAAGTTTTCCTGAATTAATATATTTTCTATAATATTTTTCTTATGAAATGATAAAGCTGCCCTTTTCACTATGTATGAGGTCAATTTTTTTTTATTGGAGTTAAAATTAACGTAGATATATGACCGAACCTAACCAACCCTACCTAACCTAACCTAACCTATCTTTATAGGTAAGGTTAGGTTAGGTAGACAAAAAAAGCTAGGTTAGGTTAGGTTAGGTAGGTTAGGTAGACGAAAAAACATTAATTCATGAAAACTTGGCTTATTAGGCAAATCGGGCCTTGCATAGTAGGCTGAGAAGTGCGTTCTGGCTACTAGGTACGACATATATATATATATATATATATATATATATATATATATATATATATATATATATATATATATATATATATATATATGTCGTACCTAGTAGCCAGAACGCACTTCTATGCCTACTATTCAAGGCCCGATTTGCCTAATAAGCCAAGTTTTCATGAATTAGTATATTTTCTCTAATTTTTTTCCTATGAAATGATAAAGCTACCCATTTCATTACGTATGAGGTAAATTTTTTTTTATTGGAGTTAAAATTAATTTAGATATATGACCGAACCTAACCAACCCTACCTAACCTAACCTAACCTATCTTTATCGGTTAGGTTAGGTTAGGTAGCCGAAAACGTTAGGTTAGGTTAGGTTAGGTAGGTTAGGTAGTCGAAAAATAAATAATTCATGAAAACTTGGCTTATTAGGCAAATCGGGCCTTGAATAGTAGGCTGAGAAGTGCGTTCTGGCTACTAGGTACGACATATATATATATATATATATATATATATATATATATATATATATATATATATATATATATATATATATATATATATATATATATATATTATATATATATATGTATATATTATTATGTGTTACATTGGAGGATTCAGACACCTCGCACTAGGTGTAAATTATTTCCCATCGGGACATACTAGAAAGTAACATGACCATTACGTTTGGAAAGAAAGGTTTTGAACTCTTGCCCAGTGGAGCGAGGTTCAGTTCCTTCGGTCTTTCTTCATAGCTCAGTCCCCTTATCACTGGAACGAGCCTTGTTGCAATATTTTTGATAACCTTCTTATTATATTTAACTTTTTTAAAATGTTTTTTAACCTTTGTTTAACTTTATAAATTTTCCTTAAACTTTTCTTCAACTTGTTTCTTTAAGTAAGGGTTCAGTACCGAGGTAGCATACTTAAGGGTGGCTCTCACAAAATATGTATAGTGATATATATTTGTATGTGTGTGTGTGTGTGGGTGTGCTCACCTAGTTGTGCTTGCTTGGTCCCGCCTCTCAACTGTCAATCTACTGGTGTACAGATTCCTGAGCCTACTGGGCTCTATCATATCTACATTTGAAACTGTGTATGGAGTCAGCCTCCACCACATCACTGCCTAATGCATTCCATCCGTTAACTACTCTGACACTGAAAAAAATCATTCTAAGAACTTTTTCTTAGAAAGAAACTGAACTAAGAACTAAGAACTGAAGAACACACACACACACACACACATACACACACACACACACACACACACACACACACACACACACACACACACACACACACACACACACACACACACTTCAGTCTTCCGTCTCTGCTGCTTCAGTCTTTCGTCTCTGCTGCTTCAGTCTTTCGTCTCTGCTGCTTCAGTCTTTCGTCTCTGCTGCTTCAGTCTTCCGTCTCTGCTGCTTCAGTCTTCCGTCTCTGCTGCTTCAGTCTTCCGTCTCTGCTGCT